TGTCCTTGTAGTTTTATAAACTGATAATTAAACTGAAGCAAACATCTTTACTGTGAACTAAATTTACTGTGTATCTTCATTCCTTTTGCCGTCTTTTTTCATTTGATTTTTCCTACTGGGAAGTTAGAATTTCCGAGGAGAAAGCGAATGCACCATTAGCTGATAACAACGGTGGCAATGGAAGCTAACATATCAAGCTAACAGTTTACTTAGCTGCTGGAGCAGATTAAAACGATGATGCCTCACACTTGGATTGTTGTCGTTGGTTTCATCTTCACCCAATCACCCGTCGCATTTAGTAAAGTGAAGCCAAACTTTAGAGCGCGTTCATGTTCTTCTAGTCGGAAATTCGGAGTTCCGAGGAGAAAGCGAACACACCATTAGCGAAACGGAAGCTAACATATCAAGCTAACGTTATCTTAAACATTTTATTTACCTACCGGAGCAGATGAGGATGTCTCACTTAGATCGTTGTCGCTGGTTTCATCATCACCCAGTTACCCATCACATTTAGTGAAGTGGACCCAAGCTTTAGCGTGCGTTCTTTCTACCATGCTGCTCTGTTTACAACTGGCTCGCAGCGAGCGACGACATAACGCTCTTGCGCATGCGCAGCAGTCTTGGCAAGTTCTCGTTATGAAGGATGGGTACCGAAACGAGGCACCGTTTGAAATGACGTGAATCGGTGCTCGGTCGGTACTATGGAATTCAGTCGGTACCTTAAAAAGTACCGAATTCGGTACCCATCCCTAATTATTGCACACACACATGCACACGCACACACCAAGCAATGTTTCTATGGTTACATTGTGATTTCTTAGTAAATATTCTATTTGGCGAGAGATAAACTTTATTGTATTTATCCTAATGAATCTATAATTAAATGGCCACCAGAGCTCAGCAGAACATCATTGTAGCTTCTTCTGGGGAGAAAAACACTTAGAGAAAAAATAAAGTTAACAGCTAAAATAGCAGGAAATAATACAGTTAAAGAGCAGATTGTAGAAGAAAGTAGTCGAGTGTGAAAAGAGGTCAGTGTATCCTCCAGCAGTCTAGGCCTATAGCAGCATAACTACAGAGATAACTCTGGATACCATCTTTTAGTTCTTTTTAAAACACAGAAAGGTTTTATTTACCTGCAACGTTTCGTTTGCGGCTACAAACTTCGTCAGGTTGACGCTGATGGTGGAGTTACTTCCTTCTCCGTTTTTCTGCGGGCAGCATAGTGCGTTGTCGTCCTCTGTTGCCCGCTCTCCCTTCTCCGACGACGCAGTCCCATGCGCGATCCAACGAGTAAACTCCATCGTCCCTGTTCATGGTCCCACATCCACGTCTCCTTATCTCGATAGCTTCTTTTATCCTTCATTTGTATTTCTGTTGTTCTGTGTTTATGATCCTTGTGTTGTCCCAGATAAACAGAGAAGGAAGTAACCCCACCATCAGCGTCAGCCTGACGAAGTTTGCAGCCGCAAACGAAATGTTGCAGGTAAATAAAACCTTTCTGTGTTTTAAAAAGAACTAAAAGATGGAATTAGAATTTCAACACAACAAGAAAACACCAAAGATAACTCTGGATAACCTAGCCTTTTTAGATGGAGGCATGATGGAGGTAGGGCTAGGGAGAGCCGTCTTTACCGACTGTACACTCCACCTCCCTCTACTCCCCCACTTGTCCAGATCTAGTCCAACATCAGATTTTAACCATAGGTCCTATCAAATAAAAATGTTTTAAGCCTAGTCTTAAAAATAGACAAGGTGTCTGCCTCACGGACTAAAGCTGAGAGCTGGTTCCACAAGAGAGGAGCCTGATAACTAAAAGATCTGCCTCCCATCCTAATTTTAGATATTCTGGGAACCACCAGTAAACCTGCAGTCTGAGAGCGAAGTGCTCAGTTAGGAACGTAAAGAACAATCAGATTGAATCATGATGGAGCTTGATTATTAAGAGCTTTATATGTGAGAAGGAGGATCTTAAAATCTATTCTGAATTTAACAGGTAAACAATGTAGGGAAGCTAAGACAGGAGAGATATGATCTCTCTTTTTAATTCTCATCAGAACTCTAGCTGCAGCATTTTGGAAAAGCTGAAGACTTTTAACTACATTCTGTGGACTTCCTGAAAGTAATGAATTACAGTAATCCAGTCTTGATGTAATAAATGCATGAACTAGTTAGTCATCATCACTCCTGGAAAGTATGCTTCTAATCTTGGCAATATTCCGAAGGTGGAAAAAGGAAATCATACAAACTTGTTTAACCTGGGATTTGAATGACATGTCCTGGTCAAAGATAACACCAAGGTTCCTTACTTTGTTCTCGGAGATTAATTTAATGCCATTCAGGTCAGGTGATTGACTAAGCAATTTCCTTTTCTGGATTTCTGGTCCAAAGATGAGGACTTCCGTCTTGTCTTGATTTAAAAGCAAAAAGTTTTGAGTCATCCAATTTTTTATGTCCTCAAGACAAGCCTGTAATCTACCCAACCGATTAGGTTCATCAGGGTTAATGGATAAATATAACGGAGTATCGTCAGCATAACAGTGGAAATTTATCCCATGCTGTCTAATGATTTTACCAATTGGGAGCATATATAAAGTAAAAAGAATTGGTCCAAGCACTGAACCCTGTGGTACTCCACAAGTAATTCTGGGGTATGAAGAATATTTGTCATGTACGTTTACAAAATGATATCTATCAGACAGGCAGGATTTAAACCAGCCTAGCGCTGTTCCTTTGATCCCTACAACATGTTCAAGTCTTTCTAAAAGAACATTGGGATCTACTGTGTCAAAGGCAGCACTGAGATCTAACAAGACTAGAACAGACACAAGATACTTATCTGAGGCCATGAGAATATCGTTTGTAACTCTCACTAATGCAGTTTCAGTGCTGTGATACTCTCTAAAACCAGACTGAAATTCCTCAAACAGAGCATTAGTGTTTAAATGCTCACATACTTGGATGGCCACTATTTTCTCCAGTACTTTGGATAAAAATGGAAGGTTAGATATTGGTCTATAATTCATTGGGTCATCTGGATCCAGAGAAGGCTTCTTAAGTGAAGGTTTGATTACAGCAACCATAAAATCCTGTGGTACATACCCATTTACTAACGAGAGATTGATCATATCTAGAATGGGGGCAGTAACCAAAGGAAATGCATCTTTAAATAATTTGGTTGGGATTGGATAAAAAATGCAAGTTGAAGGTTTAGATGAAGCTAATATTTTTGATAAATCTGAAAGCTCAACTGGATCAAAACGGTTCCAACACAGATGAGGTTCTACAGTTACCTCTGATGCTGCCTCACTTACTGAGGAAGAAGAAATCGCATTAGGGAGGATGCTAATGATTTTGTTTCTAATAGAATTAATTTTACTTGTGAAAAATCCCATAAAGTCATTGCTGCTGAGGGCTAAGGGATTAGATGGTTCAGAGCTATGATTCTGTGTAAGTTTGGCAACTGTACTGAAAAAATTTAGGATTATTCTTATTCTCCTCAATTAACACTCAATTAAGCAGTTCTACTTTGTCAAAGCTTATTTTTATAAAGCACAAGACTATTTTTCCAGGATAAGTAGGACTCCTCCTGGTGCGTAGAGCACCATGTTCTCTCCACCGACCATTAAGATATGACTTAAACCATTCAAGGGCAGTACCGGTCACACTCACCCAAAATTCAAGTCTGTGAAGTAGGAAGGTGTGGTCTACAGTGTTGAATGCCAGGTCGAGTAACAGTAACAGCACATGGGAGCCAGAGTCTGTTAGAATCAGGATGTCATTGAGTACCCTAATATGTGCAGATTCTGTGCTGTAATTACGTCTAAAACCTGATTGGAATGGGTCAAGAAGCCCATTGTCATCTAGGTGAGAAGTAAGCTGCATGAGAGCCAGTTTCTCAATTACTTTTGAGATGAATGGAGGTTTTGAGATTAGGCGATAATTGGCACAGTCAGACTGGTCAAGGCCTGGTTTCTTTAATAGCGGCTGAACAACTGCATTTTTTAAAGCGGCTGGAAACACACCGATAGTCAGAACCCAGCTCCACAATATGTTATATTTCAACCCATTTTCTAAAGTGCAGCATTATGTTAAATGCACTGGGTTTTACCCTATTACATTTAAATTTCATGGTTAAACAGTACATGTTAAAATCTAAGCTCAGCTCGGCAGTGACCTAAAATACATAAATATAATTTTACTTACCGAAAAAAATGAAGTGGAGACTCCTTGGTCGCTCTATTAGTGCAGTTAATGCCACAGCAAGTCATTTTATCCAACAATTGCACAAATAATATCCAAAAAGAACGCACTAACGCTACAACTAATGGTCTAAGTTGAGAGACTGAAAATTGCGGAACAGTTTTCAGGTGTGGCAAGGTGGAGAAATGAGGGCCCGGGCAGGATTCGATCCCCAGACTCCCAGGTGAGAGTCACGCGCGCTTACCAGTCAGCCAAAGGGACATCCCCTTGGCCAACTAGCCAGGGCGCATGATCACTCAGGACACTGTGACAGGATGCTCACACTGCCACACAGGTGAGGCCAAGGCTCAGAATGAGGCCTTTCGCCGGAGCTATGCGGTCACGTGGGTCTGATGCTCATTAATTATTTAGAATTTTAGGCTTTTAATACACTTAAACAGAAGAGTGACAAAAAATTCACCCCCCTCAGAGTTGTCATGAGTGTAAACTAGATCATTTAAACCTAAAGCATGTTTTGGTACCAGGCTGTAAACATGTTTATTTCTGCTGTGAAATTGGTATTTTTAACATGGGAGTCAATGAGGATTTGCTCGCTTCTGACACCAGCCCCTAGTGGATGAGGGTGGAACTGCATATTATTTCACTTCCGTATTGGCTTCACTTTCAGACCCGAATTGTGGGGGCTTGCTCAAAACACATCTTTTGTTCAAGAGATAAACCCCAGAAACGTGCTTGCAGAGCAGCATGTTGGCAGGACACACGTGTGCACAAGAACACGGACCACATGCATCTGTAATGTAGCAGTACGAAATACCTGCTCCAAGTTTATTGGTTTAGAACAGTACGCCCTCCATACGTAGGAGGGCGCTCCGGCTATAAAAGGGGAGCTCCTCCGGTAAGGAAGTAATTTCAGGAAACGGCTGGTTTTAAGTGTACCACTACGTGTTACCAACCCGTGTCCTTTGGCTGCGTTTTTGGGGTGATCGGCTCTGCTCCAACTGTGGTATGTACCTGGATGGCTACTCTGTTTAGCAGTAGAGTTACTGTGTCTCGTCTCAAACTGTGTTGTGCACTCGGCAGCTTGGGCAATTAATCAGTGTTGGGTGTGACATCATCGCTTGCCTTTGCTAAACAAAACATTAGCAAACGGGAAAGATTGAATCCCCGTTGCTGCTGGGCAGGGAGTTCCCTTCTACTCAGGGGTCATCGGTGAGAGGATCGATTTCTCCGTGGTCCAGCGGGAGGCGCCGCTGTTTTGTTTCGTTTCCTTTTTCTACATTTCAAATCAGCTGTTTGAAGGAAGTTCCCTGGCTCATGGCCGGAGTCCAGAAGGAAGAACAGCTGATTTATATTGTACACATTTTATACCGTTTTTAATCTTTTTTTTTCTTTGTGCAGGCTGAGGCAGGAGGTGTGGTGTGTGGCCTCGGAGGTGGTGGTCCCGTGTGCGTGTGGTGGTGCTGGTTTTCTCACGTTGGTATGAATGTTCACTGCCAGGGGTGAATCCTTTATACGTTCTTCATTATTTTTCTTGTGTTGGGGCTTCTCTGCCCCGCGTTACCTGCCTCCATCGCTAGCCTCAGTCCTGCTTCTTAACCTTTTTATTTAAATTTGTAGTTGAATTGTGTTTAGTTAACTCTCATTTTTTTGGGACCTCATGAATCAATTTCAGTGAGTTAAATTAATTTGTTTCTTCATACATTTCATTGGTTCAGTTTCTGTTGGGGCATTAATTTTAGTATTCTTTTATGGTATTTTACATGGCCAGTTTTTAAAATGTCTTTTAAACTGTCTCCTCTATAAAATAAAACAAATTTATTGTAACTTCTGAAACCACGTCTACTGTCAAGTGAAATGAATCTATATGCTTTAATTCCTTGGGTGAAATTCCCAAGGTGGCGTTGTTAATAAAATTACACTCGAGCAGGTACAATTGCCATCCTTGGCGTCAACAGGTCATAGACCACTCCCGTATTGCCACATTTGGCGTTGTTGGCAGGATTCACGAGAGATAGACGTGTGTTTTTCAGAATTTTTTTTCTCTGTTTTTTTTGTATCCGTATTAATTTTGCTCTTCATTTACAGGTTGCGAAACGAAACAGCGGTGCTTTCCTGAAAAACGGCATAGGAGTTTGTTTGTTTGTTATTTATTTATTTATTTATTTTTTTTTAGTGGGCAAGGTAAGAGGTTATCATGGAGGAGGAAGAGCTGCGGGAGTTGAAGAATGTAATTCTACAACTGAGAGCAGAAAACGAGAGGTTAAAACAAGAACAAATGGCGATTTCTGGTCCTAGTGGCCACTCTTCTGCGGCTTCACCTTCTACTTCTGTGCTACAGAGGGAAAGATTGGTTGTGGTCCCCCGAGAAAGGAAATGTCCTTCCTTTAGGGGGCGGACAGGGATTAGTTTGGCTGAGTGGCTGGAGGAGGTGGAGGCTTGCACGCGGTCTCGGCAGCTCACTGATTTGGAACAGGCTTTGTTCCTGTTCGATCATCTTGAGGGAGAAGCCAGGGAAGAAATTAGGTTTCGCCCTAGAGGGGAGAGGGAGGATCCTGCCCGGGTGATTGCAGCGTTAAGGGAGCTTTATGGCTGTGTTGACTCATATGTAGCCCTGCAGAAAGCATTCTTTTCTCGGCGCCAGCAGGAGGGGGAAACCTTGCAAGAGTTTTCCCTCGCCCTGATGAGTTTAATGGCTGCTGTTAAACAGCAAGCCCCCACTGACATGCCCAATGCTGAAGAGTTGCTTCGCGACCAGTTTGTAGAGCACGTAAGTGACGGTGCCTTGCGCCGTGAGTTGAAACAGTTTGTGCGTCGCAATTTAACAACTACCCTGTTGGAGGTTAGAGCCGAAGCCATTAGGTGGGAACGGGAGGGTTCCTCGGGAGGAGCTAGAGGCCGAAGTTATTCTGTCCCTTCAGTTTTTGGGTTGCAGTATGGGGTCCAATGTCCCCAGACCACAGCAGCCTCCCCCATGCGGTCGGAGTTGACTGAAATGAGGGAAATGTTGAAGCTACAGCAGGAACAGTTAAATAAACTTACGGAGGGTCTCTTAGCGCTCCAAGGTCCGAGGTGGAGTAATCCTGCTGGTCGTAGTCCCCTAATTTGCAGACGTTGTCGACAGCCAGGCCATTTCGCTAAAGACTGTGATGGGGTCCGGGTTCCTTCTCAGTCCGCAGCACACTCTCAGCAGTCTGGGAGGCAGGGTGGACGGGTGGCACCGTCGGAAAACTAACACCCGCCGAGCTGTGGAGCCAAAGTTCGGGGGGTGCCAAGCCTGGCTCAGATGGAGAGTCTACTGCCGTGGAAGTGGCGAAATTGATGTCGTCTTGTCCGTACGTGGATGTAACAATGGGGGGAGTACAGGTTCCGTGCTTATTGGACACGGGGTCAATGGTGTCAACTATTTCGGAAAGTTTTTTTTACCAGCACTTCGAACCCTGGGGTGCAGACAAACTGCAATCTTGCCACTGGTTGCGGCTTAAGGCTGCCAACGGGTTGGCCATCCCATACATTGGTTATTTAGAACTTGAGGTTGAACTTTGTGGTAAAGTGTTGACTCAGTGTGGTGTCCTGGTGGTCAAAGACACCCCTGAAGGTGGACTCTTGTCGCGTCCGGGTGTTCTGGGGATGAATGTGATTAGCAGGTGTTACAGGGATCTGTTTGGGGAACACGGGTGGACCCTATTTGAACAGTCACCATTGTCACAAGCCCCAGAGCCAGTGAGGTTAGCGCTGCAGAAGTGCCACCAAGCCAGTAGGAGGGTTGCTGGGGGAGTGCCTGGTACCATCAAGGTCGGCGGTCGTCAGGCGTGCCAAATTCCGGCTGGCACAATGAAAGTGGTGGCTACTACCTGTGCCGATCGGTTTTCAGGTAAGAGTGTACTGTTCGAACCACCAGTGTTTGGCCTCCCTGCTGGCCTACTTTCCTCACCAGCCTTGGTGCGGGTGGAGAGAGGGGTCACCCATATTATGGTTATTAATGTGGGGAGTACGGGTGTCTTTCTCTACCCTCGGACCAGGGTGGGTACAGTGGTGGAAGTGGGAGTTTCAAGCTTCCCACGCGGCATCACAGAGGTTCCCCTCCATGAGGCGACAGTGACATCCCAGCTGGGATCTGAGGTAACATCAGATCAGCTTAATGAGCTGGACTTGTCAAACCTTTCTGTATGTGACCAGGAGACGGTAAGGTCATTGCTGACACGATATGACTCGGTCTTCTCTGCCCATGATGGAGACCTTGGTTGCACTAACTCGGTTGTACATGAAATCCCCCTGCAGGACGATGTTCCCGTCCGTCAGCGGTTCAGGCGAATCCCACCATCTGACTATGAGGCGGTTAAGGACCACATCAACCAGCTGTTGGAAGCACAGGTGATAAGGGAGAGCAGTAGTCCTTACGCATCCCCTATTGTGCTGGCCAGGAAGAAAGATGGAAGCCTGAGGATGTGTGTGGATTACAGGCAGTTAAATGCAAAAACTAGGAAGGATGCTTTTCCCCTTCCTCGCATCGAGGAGTCACTTGATGCACTGACAGGGGCAGGTTGGTTCTCTACGCTTGATTTGGCTAGTGGCTATAATCAGGTGTCAGAAGCAGACAGGCCGAAAACAGCGTTCTGCACTCCTTTTGGCCTTTTTGAGTGGAATCGAATGCCATTTGGCCTTTGTAATGCTCCAGGCACATTTCAACGGTTAATGCAGAGGATATTCGGTGATAAGCAGTGTCAATCGTTGCTGATCTACCTGGACGACATCGTGGTTTTCTCCTCTTCAGTGGAGGAACACCTGCAGAGGTTGGAAATGGTGCTGGGCAGATTACAAAGAGAGGGTCTTAAGGTAAAGTTGGCAAAGTGTGCTTTCTTCCAAAAGGAAGTTGGCTACTTGGGCCATGTCATTTCTGGCAGAGGCGTCGCTACAGATCCCAAGAAGGTGCAGGCAGTGGCTGAGTGGCAGACCCCGACCACGACCTCAGAACTTCGCTCGTTCCTAGGGTTCGCCAGTTACTATCGCAGGTTCGTGGAGGGATTTGCCAAGTTGGCGGCACCACTCCACAAACTGGTGGCAGAAACCGTAAAAGGGAAAGGGTTGAGGAAATCCAATCGGGACCTGAGCAGCTATTGGACAGCTGAGTGCCAGACCAGCTTTGAGGCATTAAAAACAAAACTCACCACTGCGCCCGTTTTAGCGTACGCTGATTTTTCACTTCCCTTCATATTGGAGGTGGACGCCAGTCACGGTGGACTAGGCGCCGTGCTCTCACAGGAGCAGGAAGGCAAAGTTAGACCAGTGGCCTATGCAAGCAGAGGGCTTAGACCAAACGAAAGGAACATGGAGAACTACAGTTCCATGAAGTTGGAATTTTTGGCCTTAAAGTGGGCCATGGCCGAAAAATTCCGTGAATATTTGCTGGGCCACAAGTGTATTGTCTTTACTGACAATAATCCATTGAGCCATTTGTCATCGGCTAAGTTGGGGGCTACCGAGCAACGGTGGATAGCACAGCTGGCAGCCTTCGACTTTGAAATTAAGTATCGGTCAGGAAAAAGTAATGTAAATGCTGATGCTTTGTCACGACTGCATCCGACAGGGGCCCAGGATTTGGGAGCCATGCTTCCAGGGACATCCCTCCCAGAGCCTCTGAAGCAGGTCCTGCAGGGCCAGAGGCCTGAAGCCACCCAGGCTGTGATGACCACATTCCCAGAGCGCACACCTTTGGAAATAGGGGTCATCCAGAAAAACGATCCAGTTATCAAAGATGTCTTAAGCTTTTGGAGAAAGGGGAGGCGCCCTAATAAAGAGGAACGTGAAAAACTATCCCAGCCAGCCTTAACCTTGTTAAGGCAGTGGAAACGTCTTGTTGACTGTAACGGTGTTCTATTTCGCCAGGTTACCCTCCCAAGGACCACCGAGGATACACTTCAGCTAGTGTTGCCGGAGGCATTGCAGGAGGAGGTGTTAAAGGAGGTTCATCAGAACCACGGTCACCAGGGCGTTGAAAGGACATTGGAGCTGCTTAGGCTAAGGTGTTACTGGCCAGATATGTCCAAGAGCGTATTGGCGTGGTGTCAAAATTGTGAACGATGCCAGGTAGCCAAGGAGGGACCAGCTACAGGTAGTTTCATGGGTCACTTGTTGGCCTCCCGACCAAATGAGATCTTGGCCATGGACTACACTGTGTTAGAACCTTCCTGCGGTGGGTGGGAAAATGTTCTAGTGCTAACGGATGTATTTAGTAAATACACTTTAGCAGTTCCCACCAGCAATCAGCACGCATCTACGGTGGCTCAGGTGTTAGTCACGGAGTGGTTCTCAAAGTTCGGAGTGCCAGCCCGCATCCACTCTGATCAGGGGCGGAACTTTGAGAGCACCATCATCCGTCAGTTGTGTGACCTATATGGCATTGAGAAAACGCGCACTACCCCATACCACCCTGCAGGTAATGGGCAGTGCGAGAGTTTTAACAGGACGCTACACAATCTGCTGCGGACGTTACCTGTATCTAGGAAACGAGACTGGAATTCTTGTCTGCCGCAGTTACTGTATTGTTACAACACAACACCTCATCAGGCAACAGGAGAGTCTCCGTTTTTCTTGATGTTTGGACAAGAACCTAGACTCCCAGTGGATTTTCTGCTGGGAAAAGTGGAGGAACCTGTAGGGGGCAGTGTACACCAGTGGATTCAGGAACATCAGAGTAGGCTTAAGGTAGCCTTTGAGGGAGCTAACGAACGCCTAAGGGAAGCTGCTGAACGTAGAAAGAGAAGTCATGACCAACATGTAAGGGAAGTTGGACTAAAGGAAGGTCAGTTTGTCTTGGTCAGACAGCTGGGCTTCAAGGGGCGTCATAAAATCCAGGACGTATGGGGTTCAGTAGTGTATAAGGTGGTGAGGGCTCCTAGAGGGGAGGGCCCGGTGTATACGGTCGCACCTGTGGACGATGATCAAAAGTGTAAAACTGTTCATCGCTCAATGTTGAAACCAGTGGTATGGACCAGATCACCAGTAGCAGTGGGCTATCCTTCCTCATCGGTGCAGGAGCAAAGCACGGAGGAATCTCTGGAGGACGACGACCTGGTATTAGAAAGGACTGATGTCCATCAGTTGAGTCCTAAGAGGGTTGTTGGTGCCGCGGGACCCCCTGAGCCATCACTGCCCAGAGTACAACAGGACCAGCAGGAATCTGGTCCTACAGTAGAGCAGCAACCTAGTTTGGGGGGGTCACCGTTGGCACCGGCTGGCGACCTTGTGGTGCAGGCGGTTGCCCCCATTGTGCATCTACGTCGGACACAGCGCTCAACCGCAGGCCAGCACTCGAACATGCACCATCTTCCACGGGCGGTGGGTGATGTTGGGGTACGGGTTGTGGCGCCCCCAGGGTTTGGCTTTGCGGCACAAGTTTTTAGACCTTGGAGTGATTAGAGACATTCAGTTTTGTTAATCGTTGGGACAACGATTCCTGTTGGGGGGGGTGGAATGTAGCAGTACGAAATACCTGCTCCAAGTTTATTGGTTTAGAACAGTACGCCCTCCATACGTAGGAGGGCGCTCCGGCTATAAAAGGGGAGCTCCTCCGGTAAGGAAGTAATTTCAGGAAACGGCTGGTTTTAAGTGTACCACTACGTGTTACCAACCCGTGTCCTTTGGCTGCGTTTTTGGGGTGATCGGCTCTGCTCCAACTGTGGTATGTACCTGGATGGCTACTCTGTTTAGCAGTAGAGTTACTGTGTCTCGTCTCAAACTGTGTTGTGCACTCGGCAGCTTGGGCAATTAATCAGTGTTGGGTGTGACATCATCGCTTGCCTTTGCTAAACAAAACATTAGCAAACGGGAAAGATTGAATCCCCGTTGCTGCTGGGCAGGGAGTTCCCTTCTACTCAGGGGTCATCGGTGAGAGGATCGATTTCTCCGTGGTCCAGCGGGAGGCGCCGCTGTTTTGTTTCGTTTCCTTTTTCTACATTTCAAATCAGCTGTTTGAAGGAAGTTCCCTGGCTCATGGCCGGAGTCCAGAAGGAAGAACAGCTGATTTATATTGTACACATTTTATACCGTTTTTAATCTTTTTTTTTCTTTGTGCAGGCTGAGGCAGGAGGTGTGGTGTGTGGCCTCGGAGGTGGTGGTCCCGTGTGCGTGTGGTGGTGCTGGTTTTCTCACGTTGGTATGAATGTTCACTGCCAGGGGTGAATCCTTTATACGTTCTTCATTATTTTTCTTGTGTTGGGGCTTCTCTGCCCCGCGTTACCTGCCTCCATCGCTAGCCTCAGTCCTGCTTCTTAACCTTTTTATTTATTTAAATTTGTAGTTGAATTGTGTTTAGTTAACTCTCATTTTTTTGGGACCTCATGAATCAATTTCAGTGAGTTAAATTAATTTGTTTCTTCATACATTTCATTGGTTCAGTTTCTGTTGGGGCATTAATTTTAATATTCTTTTATGGTATTTTACATGGCCAGTTTTTAAAATGTCTTTTAAACTGTCTCCTCTATAAAATAAAACAAATTTATTGTAACTTCTGAAACCACGTCTACTGTCAAGTGAAATGAATCTATATGCTTTAATTCCTTGGGTGAAATTCCCAAGGTGGCGTTGTTAATAAAATTACACTCGAGCAGGTACAATTGCCATCCTTGGCGTCAACAGGTCATAGACCACTCCCGTATTGCCACAGTAAGATTACTGCAGTTCTTCAGAATGGTGCATTTGTGTTTGTAGCACACCTTTAAGCCGGGCGTACACGCTGCGATTTTTTAAAACCATTTTAAGATGATCTTCGTCTCATGCGGGAATCTTTAAGGTCGAGTTTTGTGTCATGTAGTACACACGGGGTTATGAGAGGCGATTAACACCATGACCAGCTCCCCATCAGCAATCGTGCGGACACACGAATTTCAAACATGTTTGATATTTTGCTCGTCCCTCGTACGTCCGACGTGTTGCGAGGAAGTCGTACAGATTGAGATGAAGCTGGAAGCTACAAGTGAAAAAGTCGCACAGTGTACGTCCGGCTTTACACACACATGCACATTATACACACTTGCAGCTTTTTTCCTGCACTTGTTGCCCAAAATACCTAAATTACTTACTTATAAAAAAATTACTTTTTACAGTGTAACCCAGATCAAGTTTAGTTGGTTTTGCTGCTTTTTCTGACGAAACATAACCGTTTATTCATTTCTCAGAATTATTTGTCATTATTTGTTTAACTCTAATTAATTAGCTAATTTAATCAGATGGCTTTAAAGTCCCACGGAGACTCGCATGCTTAGAGACTTGAACAAATACAAAACAAAATGAGCTCTTAACTCATTCAATGCCAATGACGACTAAAGTCGTCATTTGCATTTTTTTTACTGTGTGGGCGTCGGACGAGCCCCCGCACCGTGAGAACAAACATCCCAGCTCTAAAGCCGATCTTCATCTGCATACGTCACACGTCACATGATCAGGAAGCAGAACATCCACGTGTTAGGAGATTGTTTTGAGCCGCTGCTGTAAAAAAAGGTGAGGCGCAAACCGGAAAAGCTTCTGCCGATCACAATTCAACAACGGATTACGAAAGAACGGATAACGCTCGAAACGCGCGGATTCTTCCTGATGTAAGAGGCAAGTCTCCGCTTTGATTTGGTTGTTTTGGCTTCGACATCATCCTAGCACGCAACATTCTGTGACTCTTAAAAAAAACCCAGTAAAAACGGCGAGAAACTCTGGCAGCAAATGAGTTAATGTTGTGCTCGTTACAGAACATATGACATCATATTAGAGACAACAAACATTACTGAATGATGGAATGAAATCTGTTGCAATTTAACTGAACATGAAACTACATAAAGCATCCACTTTTGCACTTTGCAGCCTGACAAGAACTAATCTCTTGTTCACCAAACTGAGGTTATTCCAAGAGGAAGCAACAACAAATAAATGATTAATTGTTTATTTCTAATCCATCAAACCCCACTTTGAAAGATCTGAACTATGACTGAACCATAACCCTGAATCTGAATCTCATCCCTGACTCTGGATCAGTTTGGTGTCCATCAGTTATACCACACACACACACACACACACACACACACACACACACACACACACACACACACACACACACACACACACACACACACACACACACACACACACACACACACACACACACACACACACACACACACACACACACACACACACACACACACACACGTAGTGTCAGAATAAAAGCATGGATAACTCCGACCAGGGTTATTCTGAGCGTAGCCCCCCCCCCCCCCCCCCCCCCCCCCCCCGCCGCTGATTGCCACAGGACCCCCGGCTACTCCCCACTTTGTCCCACTGTGGGTCAGCAGGCATCCTCACAGGTCACAAGCAGTTTGTGCTCTCTGGCACCGTTACAGGGGTTTTCATAGCAGCAGGGAAAACTACAGTCAGCTGGAAATTTACCCGGAACTCACACAGACTGACGCTAGAGGCAGGAGCTGCGTGCGTAAAAACCACTGCGCTCGCGCGCAAAAACGCATTTAGAAACGGAAGATGTGGGAATCAAGAAAAGCACAAGTGGGATAAATGTTTTTTTTTAATATAACACGAGCTGGAAGCCTTACCTTGGTCTCACTGCTGAGCAGCTTATATTGAGTCTCCTCGGAATTCCCAAACAGCGAGTTTTTAATCATCCCAAACATCTCTCCTCTCCTGCGTCTGACCACCAACTTGGCGCGTGTGCAGCTCCTCTGAAACGACGTGCGCGCTCGTGATGTCCAACTCTCCTCCTCAACAGATGTTCGCTCCTCTTTAGATGCTCCGACAAACCAAAACCAGCCTCCACGTCACGGGTGGAGCGTGCCTCCGCCTTTCCCCCCTCTGACATTCCCACTTCAAACACCACCTCCTATGTGACCAATTCCCTGCAGCACATCTACTCTCAGAATGATCCTCTCTGCGCTGACGTGATTAAAACTTAATATTCAAACATGAGCCGGAAGGAGCCACCTCCTGCTGCTCCCACCTCAGGAACCTCCTCTCACATGTATTTATTTGTCTGTCCGTGGCGTTTAGGATGAGGAGAAGCATAATTGCATCCCGCTCCTGTTCCAAATGGATGTTGACACAGGCTGTTTGTCTGTCGCTGTGCATTGGGCTCCACTTTTCTGCGCTGCACGTTAGCCTGCATACTCTTTATGTGCTCCCAGTGAGCTGCTTCGCTTTAGGGTTAGTCTATTTTAATTCACACTGAAGGCAACGTTAGTCACGATAGCAGAGTAAGAGCAGTGTGTGTGTGTGTGCAGGGGTGAGGGGGAAAAGGACATTTCTAAACGCTGTGAGGATAAAAGGTAACAGAAAGAGACAAATCAGTTATCCATCTACATGCTTCTACCTCTTTAACAGGGTTAGTGCCTTCCCCCTAACCTGCATATAGAGAATCTTTTAAGTGCTGCAATTAACCGTTGCATAAAAACTCACGCCTGTTCACGCCCTACGTTCTGCAAAGAGATGTTCAAACACGTAAGAAGTTTGCTGCTGGAGAAACATCCAAGAAACTAAGTTCAGCAACAGATCAGTGGCATTAGTGGGTGTATCGCAGCGCGCTGGATGTCTGTAGACTCAGGAATTACTGCCAACATCTTAAATCATCAGCATGTAAAAAGAAATGCAAAAGGACAAACAGCTGTAATCTAGAAAAGGTCCTGATTTATCACCAAACTAGAACCAGGATTTGCTTTACTACAAATTACTTAAAGAGCAAGTCACCCCCAAACCAACTTTATTTTCCTGATAAACTATATAAATGTGTGTCTAATCGTGCTGCAGACACGTGTAGTCAATAGTTTTGCACTTTAGTTAAAATGTAAATGTTCTTCCTAAAACTGTCAGTGTTGTGCTGTTGTCAGGTAAAAACTGCATTTGAATTTAAATCTGCCATCGCTATTGGCTAAGAGGTACCCTAGAATGTTAGCTGGTACCATATGATGTCACAATGTCGTTGTGAGCCTGTGTGTGTATATTTCTTAGTGGCTCCGCCCTCTCGGTCTGCTGGGCAACAGCATTTGTTGCATTTTTCAAACAGGAAGTGGAGTAATACTCTAGCAGGGGGTGACTTGCTCTTCAAAATAGCCAACATACAGCTCAGACCTGCCAGTTACTACTGGAGTTTGATGTATTTGAAATAAAAACACTTAAATTACACAAAAAAGTAACAAATGGCATTTTAAGAGGAGATGATGTGACCGTGGTGAAAGCTCTCCCAGTAAATGCATTTGTTACGAAAAGTAGAAAAGATTCTCCATCATTTAATATTTATTTTGTATTATTTTAAATAAGGGGAAGAAATATTTCAAAATCTATACAATGTTTACATTAGAATAGCTAAATCATGCTTGTTATGATCAAACACGAGCAGGAAGTTTGTTTATCATTACATCTTTTAATAAAAGACGTAATCCAGACATTAGTTCATTTACAGTTTGGACTCTAATCCCCAAAACACAGAGGAAAGCTGTGTGATTCAAATGATCAAGAAAGGATTTACAGCCCTAGCTACATTTACTCTGTACACATTGTTGTCTTCATTGAACAAAAACTAACAAACAGGTACAGATCAAGTTCTTCGGTCCGTCATTAAATGAATCCTGTACACCAGGAGAGGCCTGGGGAACAGGTAAGTCATTTCTGGAAAGGTTTTCTGTCCTTGCTGGTCTCTCACACGTTCTCACTTCTCCCAGCCTTTCCCTCCCGGCTGTGTCGGCAACTTGAGCCCCACCAGTCCTGCTACTTCCTCTGGGTTACGCTCCCCCTTGGCGTGGTAAAGGTTGTGGAGGACCAGGTGGTTCCTGGTGGACTCCAGCAGACACAGGTATGTGTGCGCTGCATGTTGTGCCTCCTGCTGGGCACGGCAGTACCTTTCTTCTGTCACCTGGAGAGGAAGAACATGCACACGAGGTCAAGTCTCTTTAAAAATGTATTTAAAAAGTACAGGTGCTGGCCAGTAAATTAGAATATCATCAAAAGGTTGAAAATATTTCAGTAATTCCATTCAAAACGTGAAACTTGTACATTATATTCATGCAATGCACACAGACCAATGTATTTCCAATGTTTATTACGTTTAATTTTGATATTTATAGGTGACAACCAATGAAAACATCAAATCTGGTATCTCAGAAAATTAGAATATTCTAAAGGCCAATGAAAAAATGTTTGTTTCTCTAATGTTGGCCAACTGAAAAGAATGAACATGAAAAGAATGTGCATGTATAGCACTCAATACTTAGTCGGGGCTCCTTTTGCCTCAATAACTGCAGTAATGCGGCGTGGCATGGACTCGATCAGTCTGTGGCACTGCTCAGGTGTTATGAGAGCCCAGGTTGCTCTGATAGTCGTCTTCAGCTCCTCTGCATTGTTGGGTCTAGCGTATTGCATCCTCCGCTTCACAATACCCCATAGATTTCTATGGGGTTAAGGTCAGGCGAGTTTGCGGGCCAATCAAGGACAGGGATACCATGGTCCTTGAACCAGGTGCTGGTGGTTTTGGCACTGTATGCAGGTGCCAAGTCCTGTTGAAAGGTGAAGTCTGCATCCCCATAAAGTTGGTCAGCAGCAGGAAGCATGAAGTGCTCTAAAACTTCCTGGTAGACGGCTGCATTGACCCTGGACCTCAGGAAACAGAGTGGGCCAACACCGGCAGATGACATGGCACCCCACACCATCACTGACGGTGGAAACTTTACACTGGACCTCATGCAACGTGGATTCTGTGCTTCTCCGCTCTTCCTCCAGACTCTGGGTCCTTGATTTCCAAAGGAAATGCAGAACTTGCTTTCATCAGAAAACATAACTTTGGACCACTCAGCATCAGTCCAGTCCTTTTTGTCCTTGGCCCAGGCGAGACGCTTCTTGCGCTGTTTCTTGTTCAAGAGTGGCTTGACACACGGAATGCGACACCTGAATCCCATGTCTTTCATGAGTCTCCTCGTGGTGGTTCTTGAAGCGCTGACTCCAGCTGCAGTCCACTCTTTGTGGATCTCCCCCACATTTTTGAATGGGTTTGTCGTCACAATTCTCTGCAGGGTGCGGTTATCCCTAGAGCTTGTACACTTTTTTCTACCACATTTTTTCCGTCCCTTCGCCTGTCTGTTAATGTGCTTGGACACAGAGCTCTGCGAACAGCCAGCTTCTTTAGCAATCACCTTTTGTGTCTTGCCCTCCTTGTGCAAGGTGTCAATGATTGTCTTTGACAGCTGTTAAGTCAGAAGTCTTCCCCATGATTGTGGTGCCTTCAAAACAAGACTGAGGGACCTTTTAAAGGCCTTTGCAGGTGTTTTGAGTAAATCAGCTGATTAGAGTGGCAGCAGGTGTCTTCTATATTCAGCCTTTTCAGAATATTCTAATTTTTTGAGATACCAAATTTGGAGTTTTCATTAGTTGTCACTTATGAATATCAAATTTAAATGTAATGAACATTGGAAATTGGTCTGTGTGCATTGCATGAATATAATGTACAAGTTTCACGTTTTGAATGGAATTACTGAAATATTTTCAACCTTTTGATGATATTCTAATTTACTGGCCAGCACCAGTAGGTCAAAATTATTTTTTTTAACAAATGCAGTCAAGCTACAGGAAAACAAAACAAGGAGACAGTTAAATTGTTAGCAAATCGTAAGAACTTTAAGTCCTACAGAGAGTCAGATGTACATTATAACGCCTTAGGATTTATTCAAAGTAGGAATAAATACAAAATGACAAGCACGTGTTCCTTTTAGCCGCTTTGCTTCAGTGATTTCATCCCTTCAACAATCATGATGAGCCATGTTCTCCCAAGCATTAATAACGTAAGCTCGAAGCATATATGCTCAAGAAAACATGTAAACAGAATCAAAAGCAGCCAAATAATAAACAGAGTTAAAGCAGCAGTTCCGTCAAACATGTCTGCCACTGACCAAGACCCCACAGTACTCAGAAGATTTTATTTTAAATAAACGAGGCCACGCTGAGGAAAAACACTAGCATCAAATAACAATATTAAATAAAAAAGCTTAAAATAATGTGTTAGAAAACTCAAATACACCTGAATGAAGAAAAGTGTCTATTTTAAGCTTAAGGTTTTAAACTACGCAAATGTTATTTTTCACCACTAAAAATACCGACACAACTGATAAAGACAAACATCTATCACTAACTACCGCATGCAGCAGCTTGTGTTGCGGTAAATGTGCACACTTATGCGTCTAATTCAGAATGTGTGATGCTAAAAGGCTACGTTAGCATGTCCTTCAGCTACTCGCCTTTACAGGCTTGTAAAAAACAAAGTTGACAACAACTACTTTCTGTGTCTGCGTGGATACTCGGCTCGTTTTTAAGATAATAAACGGTTAACAATTTGGATTGTTTGCACTTTCAACAACCAAAAGGCTAAAAATACGTTATTATTCATAGCACTGAGATGGCTAGCCAATTAGCTATGTTAGCCTTTACTATATTAGGGAAAAACTGACCTTATTCCTGCGAAACTGATCCATAACATGATTGTACGCCGGAGATTGTTTATAACTTGGACCTTGCAGGTAACGTAGCTCCTTTAGTATCCCTCTGCAGAGTCTCAGCGGCGACGCGAGCGCTGGCATGGCTACCACGTCGGATCGACTGTGCAACACATCTACAACCAGACCTGCCAGGCGTTTCTAATCGAACTCAGCAGAGTCGATCTGCACAATGACCACGCGAGGGCGGCGTTCTCCACGGGTTCACGGAGGAAACCTCACACGTGCGCTCGGTTTCTGCAACAGGTACGTCTCCCTCCACAATTACATGAATATAAACGCTTTACTAAACAGACCCGCTGGACACAAACACAACGGGGACAGAAAGTCTCCGTAATATCAGTCTATTCCTTGAGAAATTCTACAAATTGAACCTAAATAAGCTCGACTGAATTCATAATTTTACATCTTGACATTAGCTGTACAAACTCTGAGTTTGATCAAGTGAAGAGGTTTATAACAGGCGCGGCACCGGTTTTTCATTTTTGGGTGGGTCACGGTAATTTTGGAAGGACTGTTATGTCCCGACAGGAGATGTTAAAATGTGAAGGAGGGGATAATGTGGAAATGAGTTATGAGACCAGGATTTGTTTATAAGAGCTTTTACTGGTTACTCTCAGCAACTTACACAGCCATGTTAACCGGGTAGCTCGAATGCGTGGTACATACGAACGCCTCCTACGTCACAACTACGGTGTCTGTTAAAGTCCATCTGCAGCATAACTCAATCATTGGACCAACTGATCTACATCCTCTCCTTTTAGTTATTACCATCAATGAAAATCAAAATACGCTATGTATAACAAAATTAAATACTAATGACCCACAATCCAAATCACTTTACAAAGTAGGAGATGTGAAATGGTGTTGAACATTAATTGGTGATTAACTAATAAAGTCTTGTAACATTTTTTTTCAAACCCTTATAACATTCTTATAACTTTTTTTTTTTTTTTTAATCAAACCCAAATGTCCAGGAATATAAACATGAATCTGGTTGTCTGACATCACAACTGAATACTGGATATCTAAGAACCATCAACGTAGCATTAATACATCACCTTCCATTCTTTTTTTTTTTCTTCTTTTTTTTAAACATTGTACTTGGGGTTAGGCTTACAAATGCGGCCTGAGCGTGTCACATAGAGAGCATTACTGTGTGATATCTCGGTGGAAGAGCAAACTGCAGGAACTTGTGGCACGCTGGAATGGGGAGTGGGCGTTCCAACTGGTGGAGGTGTCTGCTGGGGTCCTAGAGCAGGGGAAGGAGTGTTCGGTGTGGCAGGATCAGCAGGATGGGGGCAGAGACGTGCAGGGCTGACCTGTCGGGGTGGTGGTGGCTCTGCAACGGGTAGGACGTGGCGACGATTTCTCCTATAGGTTCCTCCATTAGATTCGATGATGTAGGAGCGTGGTTCGCTGCACACCTCCTTCATCGTGCCAAGGCGATAGTGCCCCTTAGTAGCCTGCAACCTGACGACTTGACCCTCCGTGAGTGGTGGCAATGGGCGGCTTGTTGAGTCGTAGTACTGCTTCTGGATGAGCCTTTTCTTTTTGAGTTGCACACTGATCAGCTCAGCGTCCTTTGGGGCCGGTTCCAGCAGTGTGGTGTTGACAGGAAAAGTCGAACGGGTTTGCCTGGACATTAGACGTTCTGCAGGTGATCCCAGCGTTTTATCACGTGGAACATTTCTGATGTTTAGAAGATTGAGGAAAACGTCTGTCCCGTCTCTATGAGATCTTTCCATCAAAAGCTTGGCGCTGCGAACGGCTCTTTCAGCTAGTCCATTAGACTGTGGGTATTCTGGACTGCTGGTTACATGGACAAAGTCCCATTGCTGAGCGAATTCTCTAAAACGCTGACTGGTGTATTGTCTTGCATTGTCAGAAATCAGGGTGTGAGGTGCCCCGTGGACTGAAAAATGTCTTTTCAGTTTGGTGATCACAGCTGCCGAAGATGTGTCCTGGAGACGGTCGATTTCGAACCAGCCTGAGTAGGAGTCGACTAGCACCATGTACTCTTGTCCATGCCACTCGAACATGTCTGTGGCGACTGTAGACCAAGGCAGGGTAGGAACCGGATGTAGTTTTAAAGGTTCCTTCTGTTGGTGCGGTCGGGTGCTGTTGCAGGCTGAGCAGGAGAGCAGTTTTGTTGTTATGTCTTTGTTCATTGCCGGCCAAAATACAGTGCCTCTTGCTCTGCGCTTTGTGGCTTCTAAGCCTGGGTGACCTCTGTGCATGATGCTTATGTATTCATGTTGCAGGGAGTCGGGGATGACAGTTCTTTGACCTTTAACAACAACACCGTTCTCCACAATCAACTCTTCTCTGTATGGAAAAAATGGACGCACGGAAAGCGGAACCTGACGGTCTTTGTTGGGCCAGCCGTTCTGAATCACCGAGGTTAGAGTTTGCAGGACTTGGTCCCTTGCTGTGTGAGCTCGTAGCTCCTCCAACCTGGCTGTAGAGATGTAGCTGAGAGACATCACTTCGAAGTCATTGTTTTCACCTTGTGTTCGGGAAACACTGCTGCTTGGGGCTCGCGACAGAGTGTCTGCAAGGTACATGTGCTTGCCCTTCTTGTAGACCAGCTTTATGTCATAAGCTTGTAACTGCAGTAACATTCTTTGTAGGCGAGCTGGGGCAGTGTGGATTGGCTTTTTTAGAATTGTAACGAGGGGCTGATGGTCTGTTTTAACCGTTATGGGTTTCCCATATATGTAATCTCTGAACTTGGTGCACGTAAACACAACTGCCAACAGTTCTTTTTCGATTTGTGCGTAGCGTGTTTCGGTGTCTGTGAGCGTGCGGGACGCGTACGCTACTGGCTTTGCACCCTGCAGACATGCAGCACCCAGTCCATACCGTGAAGCATCACAGGTTAAAATCACCGGCTGTTTTACATCAAAATATGACAGGACTGGTGCGCTAGCTAAACAGGACTTGAGGTTTTCAAATGCCTGTTGATGCTGTGGGAGCCAACACCAGGCGGTGTCCTTGTGTGTTAAGTGTCTAAGCGGTGCTGCAATGCTGCTGAGATTTGGGATGAACTTTCCCAGGTAGTTAATCATACCAAGGAAACGCTGTACGGCCAGGGAGTCCTGGGGAACTGGCATGTTCGTGATAGCTTCAGTCTTTGTGGGATCAGCCCTGAGACCTTCTTTTGTGAACAGATGTCCCACGTAACAAACTTGGTCAAGGCGAAACTTACATTTGTGGGGGTTTAGCCTGAGTTTAATCTCTCGTGCACGATCGAGCACCTTCTTTAGATTTGCGTCGTGCTCTGCAGCATCACGACCTCCCACGATGATGTCGTCGACTATGATTGCACAAGGGTAGCCGGCGAATAATTGCTCCATTGAGCGCTGGAAAACTTCACTCGCTGAATTTATGCCAAATGGCATGCGTAGAAACCTATAGCGCCCAAAGGGTGTACTGAATGTGGTTAGCAGTGATGACTTATGGTCGAGCTTTATCTGCCAAAATGAACTCTTTGCATCAAGTACTGAGAACAGCGTTGCACCTGCCATTTGGGTGGCAACTTCCTCAACGCTGCGCATTGGGTAGTGTGGTCTCTTTAAAGCAGCGTTTAGGTCTTTGGGATTAATGCACAGCCTTATCTCTTCTTTGTCTTTCTTGTGCGCTACCACCAATGATGAAACCCAGTCTGTGGGCTCTGAGACTGCTGAAATTACGCCTTTACTGGTCATATTATCGAGCTCCATTTTGACTCGGGCCTGCATTGCTATAGGAATGCGGTGTGCTGGCCGGACAACAGGCTGCACTTCAGGGTCCAGGGTCATGGAGTATGTTATTGGAAGTTATCCAAGCTCTTCACCGAACACATCACTGTACTGGTCATGGACAGTGTCGATAAAATCACTGTTAGTCTCTGTACCGACTTGGTGGACATGATGGCTCAGTGTGACAAGTCCTAGGCGTACACATGCTCGAAATCCCAGTAGTGGCACAACATCACGATCCACAAGGAAGAATGGTAATGTGTGTAGCTGTCCATCTAGTAATAGGGGAAGTGTGGCAAAACCAGCAGTTTCGATCTTGCTGCCCCCGAAGGCCACTAGGTTTGCAGTTTTATTGCATTCCAAAATTTGTCCCTCAGACAGCTGGAGAAATGTGCTTTTTGCCATTACATTACATTTAGCTCCAGTGTCGATTTTCATTTCAATAGGCTTGTCTCTTATGTGTAGAGTGACAAATCCTTCATCCCGGTTGCCTCTATGGGTGTTTATATCGTCCACAACCACAACGGGCTCGACACCATCCACATAGAATGTGTCATCACTGTTGCTGTCAGGCTGCTGTAACTCTAGCTGATGTACAGGTTGTTTGTTGTGGTATTTACCCACAAAGCATTTCTTTTTGGGATTTTCATTTAGAGGCTTTGATTTGCAGCATTTCTTGTAATGGTTCCATTTTTGACATTTGTGGCACTGCTGGCCAAATGCAGGACATTTGTCTCTCTGTGCAGCGTGATTTCCTCCACAATTGTTGCAGTTTGTGAAGAGTTTCATATCATGCCTGCTCGCAGGTTTATAATTTGTCCTGGGACGCCCTCTGGAGGAGCTTGGCTGCAGTGCATCCACCGCCGTGGCTGGCTGTTTTGTCAGAGCTCTCGTGTTCTCCTCGGTCATTTCATAAATGCGGCAGATAGAAATGGCTTTGGAAAGGGTTAAGTCACAGTCACGTAAAAGAGCCTTCCTTATGCCGTCATTATTTATGCCACAAACAATCCTGTCGCAGATTAACTCATCTGTTAAATCTCCAAAGTGACAACTTTTGGCTTTAATTCTCAAATCACTGATGAAGGACTCAATAGTCTCACCTTGTTTCTGATTTCGGGAATGAAACTTGTGTCTCTCCATTATTTTGTTGTATTGTGGGTTACACATTTCCCGAAATTTCTTTTTTAGACAGTCTGGGTCCTCTTTGGACTCTGCTGGATGAATGACTGCTCCGGCCTGCCCGTCTCCTGTGGGTGGCGCCCTAATTTCTGCGGCGTAGATGAAGGAGCGTTCTCTTTCAATAGCTTCTGTTCCTGCTAGATTGAGGAGGATATAAGCTTTCGTTTTGTCAGGTTTGTCCGAGTGGGCTGCCTCAATAAAGATGTCGTATTCCCTTTCAAAAAC